GTGAACTGATTTTAGCTTTTTTATTTATTGGATTAATATAGATTTCACAGCGCCTGTTACCAAGGTTCACTGTCAATGTGGTATTTATGATTTTATCAAGTTTTTTCTTTCTACTCCCCACCACAGCCATTTTATAAAATTTTCAGTAATATTTAATGGATATATGTGATGACTTTGATGACTTAAAGGTTTTATTTTGGACCGTGAGAAGTTTATGTAGTTTTCTGTTAACATTATTTTTAAGAATTAAAAGAAAAATCTTCATGCCTTTTATCCAAATGCTGTCATTTAATATTCACAGAAGTCAATAAGGAAATGTTTTCAATGTTCTTTGTACTCTGAAGGCAAACATATCCATTTTATATGGTACTCTTATTTATACTATTGAATTTCACAAATTCTTGTTTCAAAATCCTGTTAACCAACATATATTTTCATAAACAGGTGATCATGCAAGTCCCTTAGAAAGAAACCCATTCTTCATTAATATGTAAAGATGGAGCGCCTCAGAGAGGAAACATTCAGGCCACATTTCCAAGATATAAAGTTAGTAACTACCAATATAAATATTCTGTATTGAATTAGCCATGTTTTATAATGTTTTTAATTATTCCAAAATATATTACAATGCACAATTTTCCTTTAAACGGAGTGCAAACGATCTTGTTTCTTTTGCACAGGTGTTTTCCTTAGACTGATTCTTCACATTTTTAAAATATACATTTTAAAAATCATTATAGTAATAGAAAATCATGAAAGAAGTAAACTCTCTTTATTTTATGAATAAGATTATTAGATTAAGAAATTAGTCATTTCAACTTTTAGCATCTAATCTTAAGCTTTGTAACGTGTTTTATAGTAACATCCTGGGGACCATTTACCATCTTGGATTTCCCAACATTGAGCTTCCTCCCTTTCCCAAAATCTCTTTCAAAATGTTTGAATCCAATGTGAAAGGTATTTGAGGAAATGTGGTATTTTTCTTTATATTGGATGCACATAGGAATTGGTTCATGAAAAATGATTTATAAAAACACGTGAACAAGTATGTTCAGCTATTATTCATAAGTCAAGTTCTGAGTCAAGAATTAAAGGTGACTATTTAAATGTATAACTAGCCTCAAAAAAAATAATTTTCTAGGACCTTCAAACATAGAATTTTAACCAAACGGTTTTGAGAATTAAACATAAATGTTAATGGTATATAAATTCATTTCAGCAGCCTGCCCCTTGTACGTGAAAACAGGGTCCAAAAAGAGTCTTAAAAACTTGATGTTTATGTGTGCTCTCAGGTGGCTCAAACTTAGCTGGTGAAGAGATTGCAATTCCCTTGACTAGCTAGCAGGGGCTAAATGTAATATGAGATAAGCAGAGCCATATTGATCTGCTTTTGCTTTCTAGAAGCTAATCTTCCAGTTTCATGCAGACTCAAAAAACTAGTCAATGGCTTTAGCCATGAAAGTTGTTCTCTTCCAGATAATGATCTTTACGTCAACTAAAAAAAAGTATTTTATAAGGCTTTCATGAGTACTTTATGATATACACGTTTTTTTAATTAAAATGTTATCCCTTTAATGTTGCTTTCCCCAAAGAAAATTTTGCCACGCCCGCCCCCACACCCAAAATATTCCTTTTTCATAGTCAGAGAGAGAGAAATAAGGACAGAGACTACATATAAATACGTTTATTTAGATCATTTTTCATTGGTAAAAAACTTTGTTGATACTCAACCAATGCCTAAAATGCACACATCTATGTTCCAAAATGCTGATCCAAGAGAATACATTTCTCCAATGATATGATTTAATTACCTGTCCTCTTAAACTCGGTGGACAAGTGGCAAATATGGTAGACTGAATCTGAATCAGCTTTGGTGTGAGAATTCAGTTTGGGCCATTGGTCTGTCTTATGACTCTCTCTCTCTTTTTTTTTTTTTACTCTGACCCCAAAATTGAAGTCACCCTGTGATCTAACAATTAGATCATATCACATAGTATGTGAATAAAGAATAATTCCTGGGGAGAAAATAAGCAGAAACAAATGGGACACCTAGTAGTTGTCTAAAACTTTGCAAGACCATTCCACCCACAACCCATGACTCATGGACCATGACATATCTTAGAGTGTCCCTTGTCACATGCTAGGAAGTGGATGGAGTCTATGTGATGAGCATGGAAACTGGAACTAGCTTGCAAGGTCATCAAGCTGTTCATACCTCCATTTATTTTATACCAGAGCCGTCTTTGCTTTTCCTTTCAAGCCTTCCCACACTGATACTCAAACTAGCATTCATCTCTAATAAGTGGAGAGTGGAGAACACCAAGGAATTTCTCCTAGCTCTGTGTTCTGTCCTCAATCCAGCACACTACCATGAGGAAAAGATCAAATGGGAAAACAATTACAGTTTTTGCTTTGCAGTCCTTTGAGAAAAGAAACTCAAAGGACAGCTTTATGTTTTACTGGCATAGTCTTTGTAAAGCGGCATGTAATAGATATTATCAGGGCTGTCCCTTACTTTAACAATGACCTGTAATTTGTTAATTCTTTTATACCTTATTTCAGTAATATAAAATAAACTGTCATCAGTAAAATGACAAAAAGAAATAACATCCAAAACAACCTGCAATTTTATGAGCAAGAACTGTGTGACAGTAAGTGACCAGAACCTGTTCAAGATTTTAGGTCCTGCATATATATGTACTGTCTGCTGACAAGCTATGCAATTATAAATATATTCTTCACGTCCATGTCTTGCAAGTTCCTAATGAAAGTTGTACAATGTTACTAGGAGGCTCCAAATACTGTTAAACTTTACAAATGCTCTGTCTGTTTTATCATTTTCTTCAGTGAACAGGTACATTTTTAAGGCATCCAAGTGTCAACAAGTGTATCTAATAGAGCCTTGAGCTTCAGTGATTTCATAAAAGAGGAACTTGCCAACGAATTTAGGAAACTCACATTATATATTCAGGTTAGATTCACAAATTCAATGTTGCATGGCAAGAAGTCTATGCTCATTTCTTGGTATCATGAATTGCAATTTCTCCCCCAATTCAGAGAACCAAACCTAAACCTTCATAAATGAGTGAGCAAGTCAAAGGCAGCTTACACAGCACAAGTCTTAGAGAAGGAATTTATCACGTATTCAGTTTAAAGGGCTTGGTTTACGGCAGCCACGAAAGCGATCTATGTCCAATCTGCCCTGATGTAGAATCAGGCTGTGCAAAATAAATCTGATGTACAACTTACAGTAAATACACACTTTACTTTCTTCACGTAAATATACATTTACACACACATACACACACACATATATATGTACACATTTGTAAATTTTTTTTAGCTTACACATTAACTCCTGGTAGGACAAAACAATGTATTAAGGGACACAGCTGCAACTTTCTCAAAACCTGCCTCTGTATAAAAAGCTAGGAATTAGACACATTTTGAATAACTGAGCACAGAGAATTCTGTCTTGTTAGTTTGCACGACCTGAGTGCTACGGGATGTATCTTAAGTATCAAATATAAATTTGTCAAATGAAACTGAATTGAAATTGTTAAAATCAGAAAGTCACTAAAGAAAACATTTATGTTTTTCCACTGCAAACAAAATTATTTCAGCTAATAATTTGAGAAAATAATTTGTTAACCCAATTTAGATACATGAGAACATTAAATATATCTATTGAGTAACAGATGAAAAATGTGCAACAGCACAAAATTATTATTCATGACATTTCCGAAATGTACTTAGCTATCTTATAATATCCGAAGTAGTTATTAAATTAACTTTGGAAAAATGTATATTGTTTGATATGTAAATTAGGATGTCGTTTACAATAAACCCCAAACACATCTTAGTACTCAATGAATCAAATGTAATAAGAATATGATTTATTGTTTTCTCCCATCACAAATTCTTTATTCCTTAAGCTGTTCCTCTCAGTGTATCCGCAGTGCAATTTTCTGTTATTCTTTAAATTTAAAGCAGAGTTGCCTGCCTCCAGAACTGAAAACTTTCTAAAGTCTACAGCGCACAAGCACCCCTGGGTTTGAACTGCACACTTCCCACAGCTGATGAAAATACAATGAGCCAACACGACTTGAGGCGAAGCTGCGCGAGAAGGCAGCGGGGCTGCGCTTCTGCGCTGGAGGAGGCTCCCCGGGGCCGCAGGTTCGGCCCGCGTCGCCCGTCTTCTCCAAGGGGCAGAGCAGGGTCAAGATCTGGGCACCGCTTCTTTCCTAGCGCTGGACTTCGACTGGCCTGGGACTCAGGCCCTACGCAAACAGCATCTGCTACCCGGAGAGCTCTTCAAATTTTGCGAGTTTGTTAGATACAAAATAATACACTGCCCGACGGCGGCCCCGCCCCGCCCAGGGCACGTCGGCCCCGCCCAGCCTCGCCCCGCCCACTTCCTGGCCCTCCCCACCTCCAGTGAAACCAACGAGAGGACACCGCCTGCAGCTAGAGCGGCCCGACGGGGAGGGGCAGGACCTAGGGTCGCCGACGCGG